ATATTTTTATAGATTTAATCATTGTTTAAGAAATGCTATTATTCAACCTCAGCTCAGTGCAATGCCCATTCCTATTTAAGGAATGCTCCTACTAGCCAGGATGACACCCACAATAGTCGACCAACTCCCACGTACCTTTGAACGTCAAGGTGACCTGTGTATGAAGATATAAGAAGATTTTCCACACACTCGTCCTGCCTGGAGATCAAACCTGCGGCTTATCACATGTATATACAAAAAACTCGCCCATATGAGACAAAAGCTTATGACGACGTTTCGGTTGTGTTTTCCTCAATTCCATACACTTTACGTTTCTTCATTATGAATCTTTAATGTAATACCTCAAGCCCATACTCACCTTTACCGTTCAAATGACAGATTCCTCATAAGTTAATACCAAAAAGGAAGTATCGTAACAGGCGATGTTCATAACTTGGGTTTATCCCGACTTATTCGACATTGTAAGCCTAACACGGATAAAATATTTGCAATACGGCGTCTGAGGCACAACAAGCTATGAAAAGACACTGCAACAAAGTTTAAACGTTAGATTTTTAAAGTTTGGATATTGAAATATTGAAAAGATATAATCGTTGCTCTCTGTGGTAGTCCCCGACGCTCCGCAGTATAATGGCACTGTACATAAACTAAAATAATCTCCGATTATAAAGTTTCTTATTACTGCAGCTGCTGTATCGTGAACCCAGACCTAAACCTGGTGACGCAGGAGGTTGTAAAGTAGCTTATTACTCTTAGTAAGAAAAATACGCCAGTGTTAACGAGGGGCTAACAGTACCGGTGTGAATGCCACACACAACCCGCATGACAGTGTCACACAACCAGCGTGACAGTGTCACACACACAACCAGAGTGACAGTGTCACACACACAGCCAGAGTGAGAGTGTCACAACTAGAGTGAGAGTGACACACAATCAGAGTGACAGTGACACAACCAGAGTAACGATGTCACACAACCAGAGTGACAATGTCACACACACAACCAGAGTGACCGTGACACACAACCAGAGTTACCGTGTCACACAACCAGAGTGACAGTGACACACAACCAGAGTGACAGTGACACCAACCCAGAGTGACAGTGACACACAACCAGAGTGACAGTGACACACAACCAGATAAGATACCCGTATATATATATATATATATATATATATATATATATATATATATATATATATATATATATATATCTTTCTTTCTTTCAACACACCGGCCGTATCCCACCGAGGCGGGGTGGCCCAAAAGGAAAAACGAAAGTTTCTCCTTTTACATTTAGTAATATATACAGGAGAAGAGGTTACTAGCCCCTTGCTCCGGCATTTTAGTTGCCTCTTACAACACGCATGGCTTACGGAGGAAGAATTCTGTTCCACTTCCCCATGGAGATATAATATATATATATATATATATATATATATATATATATATATATATATATATATATATTGTATGTATAGTATATATATATATATATATATATATATATATATATATATATATATATATATATATATATATATATATATATATATATATATATATATATACATACATACATTAGTTTCCAAGTTTTTCGTTTCTTTGCATTGACGTAACGATATTCTTTACATTATCTGAATTTTCAACGCTTCGTTACCTACAGAAATCACTTCCTGTGCAAAATGAGTATTTTCTTTCTGAGAATTGGTCGTTGGTTAGATATCCATTCCTGGCTTCTAAGACTTTCTCCAACTTCGTCCAGAACTTAAAATAAATCTGTCACTAGCTCTTGGATTTGCATCTTCCATCCTTACTAAACTCTGGTGGCGGGACGAGTGCCTTATGTATAACTCCTATTTCACAGTGACCCAGAATTAAATTTCTCTCCCTTATCAAGTATCTTACTTATCTAATAGGTTTTTTTTATCGTGGAACCCTAATTTGGTATTGATTGATGTACATCTGTATTGGTAGACTGAATTTGGCTCCAGGAAGAGCTTTATCAAATGGCTTGAAAAAAAAAACTCTACCCTGAGCCGACACCAAGTGCTATAATAAAGCTTCTGCTTAATTTAATGATGATTTAATACCTCACTCATCATATCATTGATTTTATATATTTTATCTGGATCAAAAGGCACTCCAACAATATCAAAAATAGTTGCAGAGCAGCGACGCACTGACAAAATAAAGGTCTGCTATGTCCCTGCTCTTCCTGTCTTGTTGTCTGTTACGCATCACCTCGTTCGGTTGTTTTATGACCTTTGCAAAAACAAAAAAAAAGTTGTTTACCTCAGGATCTCTCCCACTTTCGATGATATTTCTAACGTGACAGTTTCTCGAAATACTTTGCTTACTTCTTCACGTATTTTCTCCTGTCATCCCGTGTGAGTTCCTCCCGGATTTTTCTCCTGATTGCATTATCGTTTACCAATATTTTTCTCCTTACTAGAAGGTGTAGTTGTTTGGGATAGTCATTCGTCTTTTCCACCGAGTCATTTTTCTATTGATATTTTGCTACCATCCTGATTTTAAGGCCTTTTATGGTTTCCATTTAATGTTAATAGTTAACTTCCAGTTCTCAAGATCTATATTCTCTCAATCTGACTAGCGTGTTTATCCTATTATCTTTCTCTGCCATCTCTGATACAAATATCTTACACTTACGGTTTTGAGATTCATCCTGATGACCTACCTATCAACGATAGCAAAGACACTGGAAGAAGCTTTTATTGATACGCAGCTTTGCTCAGTGTAGAGCTTTACGAAATCACGACCTTTATAAAGCTCAACACAGAACGAAATAATGACAGAAGAAAGATAGCTTAAGTAGCATATGTCTTTGCCTTGAGAATAGCATCTATATATCGCTTATTAAACCATAGTTTGTCCTCGTAATTAAATTCCCTTACGCTTATGTATTAGTATTATTACATAAATTGGAAAGCAATAATCCCGTAGGTGCCACACTGCGCCTGAAAAAAAATGAGTCAATCAGATCTAATCCACGAGAGATGACCGAATCTTTAATTTACAGCATCAGAAACCCTTCACAGCCGTGAAGGGTTTCTGGTACTTTTCCCAAAGAAATCAGTGTGATATATTTTTAAAATAAATAAATGAGGGAAAAATATTTTACACAGTGAAAGAATCCGTCCATCAAATAATTTATTTTTTTTTTGATGTCACAACTGTCCTAGCGGAGTGTAATGCAGATCACGATGGTCATACGTTATGGTGAGGGATGTGTAGGTGGTTCAGGGGGTGGGTGATGTGGTGGTGGGGAAGCTGACATACGCCAGTGGGTGAGAAATGTCAGTGGGTCGGAGGGAAAGATGTGCAGACTGATCATGGGGAAGAAATGTGCAGGTAAGTCATGGAGACAGATGTGTAAGTGGGTTATGGGTAGGGGGATAAGTGTGTAGGTGGGTTATGGGTAGGGGGATAAGTGTGTAGGTGGATGAGGGGAAGTTGAGAGAACAAATGTTTATAGAGAACTTAAAGGCAAACAACAGAGAAGCTTCAGATCTTTGAAACTCTGCAAATTCTTGTGATAATATCTTATTGTGTACTCACTAACAAATATTCATTGAACTTCAGATTTTATCACACACACACACGCACACACACACACACACACACACACACACACACACACACACACACACACACACACACACACACACACACACACACACACACACACACACACACACTCATAATGAAAGCCACTTTAAAACTGATCTCTAAAAAGTGTTAGATTATCGCTATTGTCAACTGAATGCAACGTAATTCGTTAATATTTTTTACATCCGCAACGAGTATTTTCCTCTCGATTTAATCATCAGTTATTCTCCCCGCTACACATAGTATATCACCAAGTATTAAATGTATAAACGCAAAAGCCTCATGAAGAGCGTAAACATTACGCCGGTTTTTCAGTTTTATTAGCTTCACGTGAAATACATAAGAATACAGTATTATGGGATGTTTTTTGGAACAAATGTGAGTCGTTTTCTGTGTCTTTACACGACCAAGACGACAGATTATCAGATTTTAATCACTTTCGCCAGTTACACTGGCCATAAATTCTTTTTTTTTTAAGTTCAAAATGCAATTAGTTGTTTTAAGCTCACTCTGATGCGCTGATAATGAATCTCAGCGTTTCTAATCTTTATCACGTAAGTTTATTTTAATCTTACGATCAATATTTTGACTGATTAAGGTTGAAGAACCTTATATGTTACTTAACAATCATAGTGAAAAACTAACTTCATTAACGAAAGTTCATTATATATGCAAATGATAATAAGATAAAATTCCATATTTACACAAACATGTTTACGTCACAGATTTCAAGCATTTTCGCTTGTTAAGTTAGGTAAGATTTCTCAGGTAACAGGACAAGTGTGTCCTCACTCTGGACACCTCTGGAGCTTTTTGGTCATCTGACCGAGGCCTTCCACTGGCTTACTGGTCCTCCCCTCTAAAAATCATAAACAATTTAGTCGGTTTATTTTTTTTTTTTTTTTGCTTGTGTTCAGTATCGCTCTCCCTAACCAGTGTCCACTAGTAATCGGGCATCAAAATAAGGCGCAGGCTTTCCTGATATCTCTTCTCTGTGAGAGCTATCTTGGTCAGATCGTTCACCGTGGGTCTCTCACGGAAACTGTTCGACAAAGTTCAGATCTGAATTCATCGTTCCAAAATTAGTTAAAAAAACATGTTTAAATGTGAATTGAAACCCTTGTTGGCCAATGTTATCTATCGCTGCTCATTGAGACCATACAAATGTATATGAAGAATGTATATATGATTATATATAAACATTAGTTGACAAGATTTTACCTTGCAGAACATAACGACACGAGTCGGTAGTTCCTAAATCTCAATCCATTTAATTTATCCTTAGCCAAGCAGCAGATGCTGAGCAAGGAAGCAGCCTCCGTTCTGAAAGATCTGGCGCTTCTATTAACTTCTCCTCGTCCATCTCCCGCAGGTGTCTTGGATGCGACGTGTGGATGACATGCTGGAGCTTATCACCTGGGATAGTCACACCTACGCCAAGGATGACAGGTGAGTAGTGATAGTGGTGATGCTGGTGGTGGTGGTGTTGAGATGGTTGTAGAAGGGCTGTGGTGGGATAGTTATCCGAGACATGAAATTGCCTATAATTACGTCAAGGACTATAGGCTAGTCGCAGTGTTGTTATTGATTAAATACAACTCGTTCGTGGTCACAATACAATACATACTGCTTGTGGAGGTTAGTACACCAAACGGGGAGTAGAATGAAATTAGCTCTGAGGCACCCACAGCATCGTATGTCCTCGGATCACGGTACAACACCTAGCTTTGCTGGGTGCTTGATCTTTGTAGGATTGGGTGGTCTTGTGGGTTAGAGCGTCGTGGAATTTTCGCTCACCATGAAGTGGGTCAAAACAACACGGGTTCGAGCCCTCGGCTAGTCGCAGTGTTGTTATTGATTAAATACCATTCGTTCGTGGTTACAGTACGAATTTCAGTGGTTAATTTCGCGAGTTTTACGTTCCAAGACCATCCGCAAATTTGGAAAAACTGCGAATTCTGGACGCAGTTAAAAATGCCTATTAGTGCCTATTTTTATAGTTTAAATCCTAAATACGTCCCCAAAACACTTTCATTTCAAACTCAGCTTCATACATCACCCTTAAAGCAAGAATGTAAAGATAAACCCATATACAGTACTGTACTGCTGTGTCTCCTGCAGTGCTAGAATGTAAAATATCGATGTTACCCCCATGTGTACTGTAATTCATGCAACCCCGTTTTCTTTGGTATCCAGTAATTCATGCAACCCCGTTTTCTTTGGTATACGTACGGTAATAATTTAATTTAGTAAAAGTAATGGAAATTTTGCTGAATTTACATCAATATTTATGTTACAAAATTATTTAGCATTAAAACGCATAAAAAAATTATATATTGCCACGAAAAAACTCAAAAGAAAAATCAGCGGATTTCCGGGGATTTCCGCGAACAATTATTAATTAGGTTCCAAGAAAAAATCCTCGAATTACACAAGTGGCGAATTCGGAACCGCGAATTCGCGGAGGTCCACCGTATATACGCTGTCCACAGAATATACAGTCCATTCAGAGTATATATTCTGTGTGCAATACTTTGCGATTTATATTGTATTTTAGGGAACTAACGTAAGAAAAATAAACAGTGTCTTACGATACTTTTATTTTGCTATACCAATTCTTTAGTCATTATTTGAATACTTCAGCCATTGTACCAATGTTTCAGCCACTGCACCAATGTTTCAGTCATTGTACCAATGTTTCAGTCCATCGACACCATGCCTAACCCTTCTAGGGTAGGGTTAGGTTGCCTGACGCCCGTGCCTTTAGCTCATAAGACTGTCATTCCCCATTAAGCCCCTTGGGGGGGGTGCGGGGATGGCAGACCAGAGAGGCCTTGCTTGTGGCTAATGGCCTGGGGACAGTTCGGTCCCAAAGATGAGGGAGGTACTTGGTGCCTCCTCCCTTGGGAGAATTAGGTCTCAGACCACTCCTATTAAAGAGGGAAGTCAAGGCCGGGCCACAATTGGAAAAGGGCCGGGCCGGGGAATACGGCGGAATCTTTAATAATATAATCATAAATGTTTCAGTCACTGTAAAATTGTTTCGGTCACTGCACTAATCTTGCAGCCACTACACTAATTGCCAGTCACTGCACTATCTTTCAGCCACTACACTAATATGCCAGTCACTGCACCAATTCTTTCAGCTACTACACTAATCTGAGTCACTGCACTAATCTTTCAGCCACTACACTAATCTGAACAGTTCACTGTATAATCTTTCAGCCACTACACTAATCTGCCAGTCACTGCTACTAATCTTTCAGCCACTGCACCAATCTGCTGTCACTGCACAATCTGTCAATCACTGCACAATCTTGCCAGTCACTGCACCAATCTGTCAGTCACTGCACCAATCTGCCAGTCACTGCACCAATCTGTCAGTCACTGCACCAATCTTTCAGTCACTGCACAATCTGTCAGTCACTGGCACCAATCTGTAGTCACTGCACCAATATGTCAGTCACTGCACCAATCTGTTCAGTCAATGCCACCAATCTTTCTGTCACGGCACCAATCTTTCAGTTACTGCACCAATCTGTCAGTCACTGCACAATTCTGTCAGGTACTGCACTAATTTTCAGTCATGCCACATCAGTCAGTCACTGCACCAATCTTTCAGTCACTTAAGGAGTTTTTTCAGTCGCTTGGTAATGGCACTCCAAAAATAAGAATTACCTCCAAAAAGGGGAGAGACGAGAGAGAAGAGTTGAGAGAGAGAGAGAGAGAGACGAGATGATGGACAGAGACCGGAGAGAGAGAGAGAGAGAGAGAGAAAGGTATCATTGCTTCAGTGATAAACTCGATAAGTCGTGCTGCTGAATGATCAAGTTATCTTACACTCTGAAAGATCCCTAGAGAGAGAGCGAGAGAGAAGTCGATTATCATGTTCTATTGCCATGGAATTATATTCAATTATACTCAATTTATTAACAGATTACAGTTTAGAAAACTCGGCCATTTTATTTAATGATATTATTAGTATTAGTATTATTATCATTTTATCTATTACTGAAGTATCATAATCAATCAGAATTATTATTCAGACAGAAGCAGACTGATGAAATGAAGGGCGGGGAAGGGAAAGGAGGAAATCTGATTGAATAAGAAAGGGATATGAAGAACAGAAGGAAAAAATTGGGAGTGAGAAGATGAGGGAGGAGGAATTGAGAACGAGGATTTAGGAAGGAACGGAGTGAACTGGGGAAACACGGTGATAAATCATCTTTAAAACGTGGTTGCCCGGGAGGCGTATGAGGGAAGGAGTATTGGGGAAAAAAAAATAAGTGAACTTGACAGTGATAAATAGAAGGCCATGGAAAGCAGGCGAAAAAACGGAAGGTGATAAGACAATCGACGCAAGAAATGCAGTAAAGTGCAGGACTATGATAAATAACTTACGGGGTCAGAAAAGTACTTATCTCACTTAATGGAGGAAATTATCTTCCAAAAATATAATTAATAACTATAGCGGATATAATTATGGGGAAACAAATTGGAAAATAAAGAGAGATAAAGGGTGAAGGGTTAATATATATGTGCAAAAGAGAATATATCGTTTCAGATTAGCGAAATGAAAGAATTGATGGTAAGAAAGTAAGAGTTGATGGTAAGAAAGTAAGAGTTGATGGTAAGAAAGTAAGATGTTGAGATTATTGACCTTACCTGCTGTGTTTATTATAACTATATATAATGAACACTTAGCTGATAAATGACAGCAAATCGTCTACACAGCCGCCCCTGCAGACGAGGTCTAGAAGCTGTCGAAACCATCACAACAGTGGGCTGTCAAGAGATACAATTTGTAAGTATAAATTACCCCTAGGGGGTGTTATGTCAGCATATTTCATTCGATGATGGCTGGTCGATAATACCTACATGTTTGGACTCAAAATTCCACACCTTACTGCGATTATAGGTTGATTACAAACTCCTTGTGACTCAGAATTGCGCAATCCCCGATATACAAGGAAATTTTCGTAACATACCTTGCTCTTTGTAACGTGAGCTATGGTGTTTCAACACCATTCGACAGGTTTTCGGTGAATTGATAGAAGCTGAAGTGTTCCTTGGATGTCCACGTTTCCATTGTCTAGGAAACAGCACACTGGTACACTATGTTCCACAAGCTTTGTCTTTATTGTCACAATGTATCACAAGAGAATCAGTTCACACTTTTCTTTGTTTATCGTTGTTTTGTGAGACACTTTGTCCACACTAACGCACAGATCTTTTCTTTGCTAGTTATCCTGGCGTCAGTGTCACTCTTCCATAGAGTCAAGATAGTCTGCCAGACGCCACGTGCTCATGCCGTCACTGCACCAGCACAAAAAAATAAAATGTCTGACCTAGTTTACCTTGCATCCTTGTCACCTCCTCGATGAAGCAAAGCGAATGTTTGTTTCTGCTGTCTTAATCATAGACAACCAATGTACACTATCTTTACTATGGTAATAAAGTGGGGCGCAGGATTTTTCTAATTGTCCCCCTGTAAAGTAAGAATGTATGTTCTCTTAATAAAAATACACTTTGCAACACCGCTGCAAGGAGCAGAGGTCACTTGACTCTCGGGGCTAGCATATGTGATCAATTCTCCACTCTAGCAGTAAACAAGACGCTCGCCCCTTCTGAGAGGGCTTGGCCCCTCAGGGGCTGAAAAGGGGCTGAAAGGGCTGAAGGGGGCTGATATCCCCCTCCTGGGAGAAATTTCTCACCTGCGAGGGGGGCGGAGGTTCCGCTGAGGTGGAAATATTCATCATTAAACATTTTAATTTGATTTATCCTACTCGCCACCACTGCTGACTTTCTTTCTGAACAGTTTAGTCTGTTCGGTTTTCTGGAGAATCACTATTTTGTTTTCAACACTGTGCAATTCTACGGCACTAGTTTTATTTATTGTTCCGCTTATTCACTACCACCTTTGCTCAAAACATCAACTGTCCTGATGGATTCCATTTGCATCCAGGATATATAGGTCACAAATTTTTCCAAGTGCCAATTGGGACTCGGACCATCATGTCGATAAATCACTATGTCACCAGGTCTTAGGACTTATGATTTTCAGGAACACAGCTCCATTGAAGTGTTCTCTCAATGAGGTGAGGATAGTCTTCTCGCCAACATTTTCTCCCAACGTTCATATCACTTTATTAAGGTGTTGAATTTAAGTCTGAGTTGTCAGGTTCGAAATAAGTAGGATCCTCTAGATTTCTTTATAATTCATGGGAGGAACAGGTTCGACCTTTCTGCCATGGAGTAAATGTGATGGACCTTAAAACTTCTAAATTCGTCACAGATCATCGGTAACAGAAGTTAGAGGTTGGTTGTTGACTCTATTTTCTATTTCAGTCACAACTGTACGGTATTTTCTAAGTCTATTCTCTGACGATGAAGAGTCTTCCTTAAACAACGCTTTACAATGCCGAATTTCTTTCATAAAATCCGCCGTG